ATATTCCGGAAAAATTAAAGGACGTTGTTTTCCAACATTACCGTACTTCTAGCATAGGCTGCCATCAAACCAGTTTTAAAACGGGATCCAAAATAAAATCAATCTTTTTTTAGCTGAAATTAAATGCATTTCTTAGGAAAAATATAAACTCTTGCATGACGTGCAGAAATTCGATCAAACCGTAAAAAGGGGACAACTCTTATCACAAATTCATACACATCCTGGGCAGGCGTTGATTGATATCGCAGGAGAATTACCCAATTCATACCCCTCATGGTTCGTAAGTACATTTTGGTTTTTGGACTCTTACGCGATACACGATCCTAATACCACTAAGAAAAGTTACTTCTACTTCCGATTCGAAAGCTTTGTAAGAATAGTATTCAAAAAGTTTGGATATTGGGAGAAAATAATTTCTGATAACGGCAGTATTTTCCGGAAGTTCGAAAATTTTCTGTTTACCAGAAGTATAACACGACTGCTTCATGCTATATAAACCTGGCACAAACACCTGTGAAAGACGGATTAGGGATTTAAAGCAAGCGATAACAGCCTATCATTCCGAAGATCAGAAGAAATGGCCCGAAAATTTAAATTCTGTTCGCCTCTAATTCCGCAACTCATCAGCCTACTGGATTTATTCTGAATTCTTTGTTTCTGGCAAAGAACGTTTACGGTGCCTTGGATTTGACATGGGAAATCGATCTGAACGTTCCTCAGGTTAATTCTAGGGAATTATGGGACGCCAAAGGAACTTACGAAAAGCTCATCATACAGTCGCAAAACGCTACAACAAAAAACATAAATTCTTAGAATATAACATTGGGGATAAAGTTTTGATTAAAACCTATACCTATATTGTCAAAGAAATGTAATGCAATAAATCAAAATTTATCTTTTAAATATACCGACCCCTACACCTAGGTTCTACATCTTCTTAATAAGAGGAAACAACAAGTGTCTTACACACTTCAGTCGGATAGTAACCAGAATGAGGAAAAAACAGCTTATATATCTCAGCAAAAACAAATATAATAATACCTCCCAGGAATAAAAACGAGTACATAAAAATAATAATAATAAATTCCCTGCCACATCATTTCTTCCTTTTATTATATTGAAATTTTGAAGTTGTTTTATTTATTTATGGAAGAAATAAGTAATCCCGAATTATTATAAAAGGATATATTTAAAAGCTACCATAATGAGGGACATCACAGATGATCAGCTCTGATCGTTTCTTTAGAGTTTAAATTTAATTTCTGTGACGAAAAACCTAACCGTAATGCTAAGTTTTAGCCTAATATAGCTAACTGTAATGACTGACCTATAAGGGACAAAAAGAGGCAACTAAAGAAAAGTTTTCTTGTCAACCTATTTCTTGATTATGGTCTGTTATAGGCATTGAATTATCAATTGTAAAACAATACTGACTGGATGTTTCCGATTCCGTATCTACACATCAGACAGCATCGGTTTATCGAAGAATTAAAAAAGAGGATAATTTTAGATTGGTGATGTTATTTGTTAACTTTTGAAAGCATTCAAAGAGAGAATTTTCTATGAAAGTCATTTGTTAAACTATTTTTACGCGTACAATCACCATTGGAAATCCAAAGTCGTTTTAAACATTTCGTAATGTTACCCCTCAACATTGTTTTCAAAAGAGAATAGGACATTAGTTTTTAATGGTCCTTCATGCTGTTTTTCGTAAACTCTCGTAGTTTTCAGGCACTTTTTTTAGTTTAAAAAATATTTACTTTATTTTATTTTACTGTAGTAAAAATATGAATATTTGTTTATGCTTTCTTATCTTATCGTATAACGATGCTTTAAAAAAATGAAATATTAATTTCGCACCGTTTTCCTCATTGCTTTAATTAGCTTTTGAGTTAATTTTTTATTGTAGTTCTTTAAAGTTATATTTTAGTTTTGGAAGCAACCCACTTTGCAACAAATTCCTTTTCTTTCCCAATTTTTGGGCGGAAAAGTTAGCTTTTATTTTTGTACAAAAGCTGATGAGCTTTTAGGAATCCGATATGAGAATTGTACTTGAGCACGGCAGCGATTATTGGATCCCTTGTTCATATTTTTGGAGGGACAGATTGTTTTACTGTATGTAGTAATAATAGTTTTATGTACGTAGCGTGTACTGAGAGTGAATGTATTTATTGGTGTGAATGTCTAGTGCAAGAGGACTAATTAGAAGTATCGAACACTTTTTACACTTACGAATACTCAGGATCAAGGTATGGTCTTGAAGAAGAAGAAAACAAAAATAGTTGCTAATGCCAAGCTTTCAACCTATTTAAAGGTCAACATCAGGGCAAACATTCTTAATATGTCCACATATTGATATACTTAAGTGTTTTTTTAACCTTAAAATACGTCAAAATCTTGGCATTAGCAACTAAATTTGTTTTCTTCTTCTTCAAGAACCTTGATCCAGAGTGTTCGTAAAAGGACTAGTGGCAGAATATCGAATAGATCCTGATTTAGGTCAGTTATATAATAAGCGTAAAGTGTAATGGAGGAACTCGATATTTCTCCATTCGCTCAACTCTGTACAGTAGCAGATTGGCCCATTGTTGAGTTAGAAGTTGTAGACTGTCTGGGGTGAAAAGTATCTAGTTCCTTATCTAGATTTGTTGCCAAGAGATAAGCTGGCTTGAGACGAGCCAATGGTATGTTTGTGTTCTGGCCTTTAATTGTCAGTGTGAAATATTTGCCTGCCATTTTAATAACCTTGTAAAGGCCCCTATAATTAGGTTTCAAAGGCTTCTTTGTACTGTCTAGGCGAACAAACCCAAGATTTTAATACCAGAACAAGTACAAGTAACAAGTGTAAGGTTTTAAATCCTAATGTATGAAGACAGTCCTTTTTGAATTTCTTCCTGATCGGACAGGTTTCAATTGTCTCATCTCGTCCTGTAGCCATAAACGTGTCCTCTTACATTTATGAGTCTTCAAAAAATTCACGTGGCAGTCGAATCGTTTTACCATTTGAGCAAAAGAGTGCTGGGCATCATCTCGTAGTGCTGCCTTAGTCCTAATTTGCTAGGATGGTCTTGGTCTGTTTTGGAGATCCATGAGCTTTTAATGAGCCTTTATAGTTCTGTGGAACCGTTCAATCTTTCCTTTGCTTGAGAGTGGTAACGTGTAATATGGTTAATTTTTACTTCGTAAAGTTTATCAAGAGATCTAAGCAGCTAGGCCTGAAACTGATGCCTTTGGTCTGTGGTTACTAAAGACGGAGCACCAAACCTCACAATAAAATTGAAATAAAAAGCTTTGGCCACATTCTCTACGGTTATATAGTCCACTAGTACTACAATTCAAGTTAGACAATTGTTTCCATCTGGAAACTATATGGACTAATGAGATGCGTTCATCCGGTTCTTGAAACATTACAAGTTCTGTTTTGGTGTGTCTTTTAATTTTTGCTTTTTGGCAATTTATGCATGCCTCAGCCCATCTGCGAGCAACTACGTTTATCCCCGGCCACACAAATCTTGATGCAAATTGATGTACATGTAATTAAATTCAAAAAGTCCAAATGGGCTGTTTTCTTCTCGTCCTGTTCTGCGAAAGGGATGTTGTAAAGGATTGAACCAGATCCAGTTTGGAAAAGACATTCTTCCCTTGAAGGTGTAGATTACGTCATCAATTTTGTGGATAGGGTAGAGATCGGGTGTGGTAATCGCATTAAGTCTCCTATAATCTCCACACACGCACCATTCTTTTTAGCAACTAAGTGACTTGCCAACTGTGATTTATAGTGATTACTCCTTCATAAATAGGATCTGGAATCGTTTTACTTTTAATTTTTATTATTTTTTAAATTGAATTCCGCTTTACTAATTTCATAGGTCAGGGCTTATTGTTAATCTTCGTGCTCTGTAGAAAAACGGTGCATGTTGTGTTGTATAAATCGTATGTTCTATCCCGTGGTCTACCTTCTTAGCTAAATATGCTGGTTTAATAATGTCCGGATACTTCGCTAGGAGATCATAGCACAGATTCGATTTATTCGATGGTTGTCAATTACTCTTCAAATATATACTGTAAAAAAAGTAATTATTTATCTCCCAAACCAATAATTAAGCTCAAATCTGCACATGTATACATCCACACGTGTACAGATCACTGGTCATTCAATTCATCCATTGAGCCTATGGAGGGATATCGAACTCCTCCATCACACTTTACACCTATTATATAACTAACCTAAATCAGGGTCTCTTTATATGAACCAAGGAATGGCACACTTTAATTAGGTGGGGCACATCGAGCAATCTTTCTCTACATGCCGGACACATTCGCAGGCTTTGACCCAAAAGCCATGTTTGTGTGTCAACATCACATCGCCTATTCTTAATCAGGTGATGATGACCCTTCTTCTAATAGTCAGATTTCCGAAGGCCTGTCGACAGTGCTCTTAATGCGCGAGAACTTATTGTCTGTATTTTGCTTATTATTTTTTGATCGAGCAAATTACAATTTTTGATCGCTTGCAGCGATCTGTACATTTCCAGGTTTTCGAGTATGACCGTATTACTTCATGCACCGAGTAATTTTAAGCTTTTGTGTTTGGAGGTGTGTGTGGTGGTTTGTAAGGTGTTCATTGTGTACTTTGATTTTTTTGCGGTAATACCTGGACCAAAAAATATCGTATTTGCACCCCGCATTTCTAACAATGTACAATCGGTGTCCCGGAAAGAGTCTCGTAAGGCTATTTGCAGTTAAAAATTTTCTACAAAATAGATTATAAGTTAAAAAAAGAAACATCTTCATCTGTAGGTTGGTGGGTGAGGAGGGCAAGGACAGACAGACAGACAATGAGACAAGCCATGACGATTGATGTCTTCTCCGGCTGGAAACCACGTCGTTTCAAGGTCAAGAGGTGTTTAGATGTGACGTCAGGATTGTCATGGTTACAGCGCGATCCCCGGCTTCCCATTGGTCCACCCTCCATCTGGCAAAGTCCCTACTTTCAATCTTTCCAACACTTGTAGCAGGAAGAGGACCGACTGACATTTATTCGGCGATTACTTTGATGCCGGGTGTTCTGTGAAATTTTTGGTCAAAAAATCAATTACACTGTACAAAACGTCGGCTCATAAGTTTTACAACGATTTTACGATTATGAGAATGCCTTTCCAGGACCACACCATCAACAACGGCTTCAACTTCAACCTCTTTCCTCATGTAAGTCTTATGCTGGAAGTTTCTCTCATTTTTTAAATATTAATTTTATGTTCGCCCAAAAATACACTCCCAGGCAAAACCCTAATACTTTTTTATTTATTTAAAAAAAATTTCCTTTTTTTCTAATCGTCCTAATCAAACGTACTCGAGTGCAAAAAAAATCCAATGCAATCGCATTCCAAGGAGACCAACAGATCAATATTGAAACGAAAACCATTCATTCTGCTCACGTTTTCATAACATAACAATGAGCTTTTGTTTAAAAAAGAGGAAATACTGCAAGGAAATAGAAGAAAAAACAGCTTTTAAACAGTAAAATCGTAAAATCAGTGAGCATATAGAAAGTAAAAGCGATTTGTTGTTTTCAAAAGGAAATTTGGGAGGGAGAGGCTCTATTAAAGCAATAATCTTGTTAAATATATTCACTAGTCCAGTAGCGTCCATTTATGCCAAGATCCTGCAAAGGCTGTTATGGGTGATTTGAATTTTTAAATATTGGAAATTTAAATAACCATACAAGACTTCACTGCGATCACTTTTGATATAAGGAGTGAAACTGTGGGGTTCTGACAAGCACATCCAATCCTTCCAATCAAAAGCCCTCAGACAAACTGTCAAAGCTCCTTACTACGTCACTAACCTCAATATCAACAACCAGTTAACGAAGTGATCCGTTCCCGATTCAAAAGTTTCGCACCAACCTCTCAATCCAACCTAACCAACAGCTCAAGCCTCTTTACACATTCCCATCCCAAGAACCCGCTACGTTGCCTTGATCAACGATGGCCTCCAGACCTCCTTGCCCTTTAATCCCCCCATACATTGAGTGCCAGCATCGGCGGGTTCCTCATGGCATGACATCCGAGTGCAATGCTGGCATTAGTGTTACTGCTGTGACAGAGTGAAAAAACGTTTTGTGATCATATTTGTAATATGTATAGGCCTCAAATAAATTAATTTTTAAAAAACCTGGGATGGGGCTCATTTTGTTAAGCATCGACTTACGGACCAATACATATGCGTTCTCAAAAAACACTGCTTAAGTAAGTAAAAAGTAAATTTAATTTAATAAACATGTACAGTCCTGAATCCTTCATTTAATGAACAATCTCCTAATCTAAATATAATCTGCCTTTTTAAAAAAACTTTGACATCAGTTTTTATCCATATGTAACACTTCATTAGTTCAACTTGGATAAAATAAAGTAAAATATACACAGTGATAAATGTTGGCTTAAAAAGACAAAAACACATTTCTCTTTATGCGATTGATATCGGCCTTAATATGATAATATATATAAAAACAGGGTACAATAATTCCTTGATCAAACTTTAGGAATTACCTACATCCACACAAGTGAAATACTTAGGGCTCGACAAGAATCAAATTGACATGACCAAAACTGCTTGAACCAAAATCAGACATTACAGGAACAAACTGCCACGACCTCCTCGTCCCTTTGTGACGAGACGGTGGAAAAGGAGGTGCGGTACACTAAAATAGAGGATTAAGGGAATAAAGTTAAATTATTAAAATGAAAAGTACTTCTATATTGTTAAAAAATATAAATAAATGCTGAGAAACAGTTATATCCAAAGGATACCTATTTTTCGTTTATTTTAATTACCCTGCACTTAACTGGGGGGTCTCCTCCGCAGCAGGTCTGTCCCTGACATCGTCCTTAGCGCACCTGGCGCTAAAGGGCCTATCGCTGGCGGAGTCTCTTCCCCGCTGGAAAGGCGAACCATGCCCCCGCTTCCACGGTTCACGTGTCGCGCGATCTCCTGAGTCGTGACAAAACAGTAAGTCGACCTATTTGGACATAAAGAGTTGAACTATGGGGTACCAGGAATCTCTAACCCATCCAAGCACTCTCTCAAAAGTCCTCGGAAGAATCCAAGCTCCTTACTACGACTCTATACCTTTCCCACAACAGCGATGGAAACCTCACTATCTCCCAGCTTTACACATTCATGTGCTTTCGAGAGTGCCTGTGATACAAGAAAATAAAATTAGGTCCAAGGAGAAGCCATCACAAAATTTTCAAGGGAATTAAAATAAATGAGATGGCTATGTACCCGACAAAATGAGAAGAAAACCTTTGATAGACCCTTCCAAGTGGTCATAGATAATAGAGATCTTTGGCAGAAAAGTTTCAGTATCACAATCGCAACGCCTCTTTTGTTCTTAATGCAGTATTTTGAGCAAAACCATGTAATAAATTGTTAGTTAAATTTAAATGTTTTAAATAAAGTAATTCCGGTGTTTCGATAGATTTTCTGCCTAACTATTATAATTAAATAGTTAGTATAAAAACTCATGAATTTTTGATCTTTCAATTTGGTTTACATTAAAATAAGCATGTTGTAATTAATATAACGACAAAATTACATGTACATAGTTTAAAATAAACTCCAAAAATATGAGTGTCCGCTTCTGACTCTACTCGACGAAAATGGTGTAATTTTTGAGCAAAACCATGTAATAAATTGTTGGTTAAGTTTTATGAATAAATCCATATAATAAATTTTTAGTTAAATTTTATGAACAAAACCGTGAAATAAATTGTTAGTTAAATTTTATGAGCAAAACAGTGTAACCAATTATAGTTAAATTGTATGAGAAAAACCATGTAATAAATTGTTAGTTAAGTTTTATGAATAAATCCATATAATAAATTGTTAGTTAAATTTTATGAACAAAACCGTGAAATAAATTGTTAGTTAAATTTTATTAGCAAAACCGTGTAACCAATTATAGTTAAATTTTATGAGAAAAACCATGTAATAAATTGTTAGTTAAATTCATTCTATCAAAAAATGGTATTCCGGTGTTTTGATATATTTTCTGCCAAACTATTAAAATTAATTTTGATTAATAAAAACTAATGAATTTTTGATCTCGCTTAATTTGGTTTACATTAAAATAGGTATGTTGTAATTAATATAAGACAATAATACATATAGTTTGAAATAAAAATATCCGATTCTTTTGTCTTCAACTGAATTCGATGCTATTCGAAGAAAATCTGGACAGTCGGGAACTTGGTTGCAACGCGTAGCATCGAGTAGGGTAGCGTTGCGTGGCATCGGGTAGATGTGCACGGGGATAATACAATCTTATGGAAAATTGGACATTGGATTTGCATCGGGTGGCTTCGGGTCACGTCGGTAGAGTTGCATCAATCTCCTAATGACCTTTGGAGAACATAACAAGTTTAACTAAACTAAACTAGAACCCCCTTGAACTTTGCGATCACAAAATTATGCTTTATCAAAGATACCGTTGTTAGAGTTAAAGAGGGAATTTAGGATGGTTTCTGTGCCAATTGTAAGGTTAGGCAGGTATGTATATTTATCATTTTCTCTCTTCCTCTCTCTACTTGATGTCCCCCTGTACTTGAAGGTGTTCAGGTTGACAACACTAAATTTAAGGCATATTATAATTATGGTGATGATGCTCTACTTTTATCCATCGTGTAATCATAGAGGAATATAAAGTAAAGTAATTACTGTCATACAGGAGGACTTAACGTTCAACTACCCGTTGGGTGTCGCGGACGAGGTGTCAAACCACCTTACTGATGAATGAATACTTTTTCATACCATTATCAATTAAAAAGCCAAGGGATGTAGGGTTTCGAACCCAGAACCGCTAGTGTGGCAAATACGAGTCGGACCCTAAGCACTCGGCCACCGCCGTCCACAGTTATATGTTTGGAACACCAAAGGCCGTTTTTAAAAAGATTTATTTTACTTGAAAACATATAAAGAAGATTACAAGACAGAAAAATGCGAGAGAATCGTCAGAAGTCGTACGCCTGAAGAACGGGGAGAGAATACGCNTATTTTTTGTTAATTTGAGGATGGGACGTTTAATATATGTTTCAGGATGAGATATAACAAAATTACTCACAGTATGTTGGTGACGTATCTCTGGTTCTTCTTCCGACGATGTAGAAGGAGTTCTCTGCCTGTAGGTCTGCTTGTAGAAGGAAGAAATTTTTCTGCGATGTATTTCTTTCTTCGTCCAGAGTAAATCTTCTTCTGGTAATGTAGAAGGAGTCCTCTGCTTGTAGATCTGCCCGTAGAAGGAAGAAATTTTCTGCGATGTATTTCTCTCTTCGTCCAGAGTAGATCTTCTTCTCTACTTCAATGTTTTAAAGTCGGCCAATTTAGCGTTTGTTCTTTCAGACAGCGGATTAAGAGCTAATGCTCACGTTCCAATGCGGGAAATTGATCGCGCAATAATAGTGAAATTAATAGGTCAAATGGACTTACTAAAATCTGTGAACTTCTGCTGTCCCTGTTCGGGCGCCAGTTATATGTTTGGAACACCAAAGGCCGTTTTTAAAAAGATTTATTTTACTTTAAAACATATAAAGAAGATTACAAGACAGAAAAATGCGAGAGAATCGTCAGAAGTCGTACGCCTGAAGAACGGGGAGAGAATACGCGCCGTTTGAGATAAGCGCTAGGTTTATATGAAGTCGTAATGCAGAGTCAGCTGGGGCAGTTCCTTCAACTCTTAACTCACGACTCACATACAAGTATTAGAAAATAATTGTAAAAATGGAATCTGAGGTTAGAAAGACAGGCAAATTACCATTGAAATTGTCAAACAGTACACTTATGCCTCTCTTCTTCCTACGTTGTTTGACGCAGGTGTCATCTGCAGCTAAAATGGGAATTAATCGCATCTGGGCTGGCTTTATGCTTTAATGATAATCTCCCAATGAAAACTACCTTCACAGTATTCAATGCTGTTGTTCTATGTGTGTCTGTTTTGTGTTTTCCAGTCGTAAAGATTTTTCATCAAAAACTCTTTGGCCTCCCCTCCTTAACAGTATGTTTCTATAACTATAAAGAAGGCATATATCGATTTGTTGATGGTATGCACATAGAGGCTTCACTTTAAATATGCCCCTAAAGTTCTTAATTTCCCTGATTTCCGTCCAAAGATTTCGTCCAAAAATTACTGTCATTCATATAATAAAAAG